GGTTATTAACATAAAGATAAATACATACATAATTGGTGAATGGAAGAATTTACTCTCTTATCTCAAGAGGTGAAACATTAAAAAGCTTTGTTGATTGGAGAGGTTGAACTATTTATTGAAACCACACATTTTGCTTACAAAAACTTTCACAAACAAAGTGGTTTTTTTTTTGATAAATGAACCTATGAGCAATCCTATTTGAATCATTGTGATTGGATTGGATTGATAATAACATTCGATATTAACTGGTTCAAGAACAATAATAATAAATTTAATCAGTTATTCAGGTCTAACAATTTTATAAACCGACGCGTTTGATTATCAAACTTCTTCACGTGTGAGGGAGAGTTGCGCATGAAAATTGAGAGAGGATGGTCAAAGATTGATGATATACATTATTGAACTCGTTTTCTAACGACTTAAGTTCTTAGAGTAAATCAATAGCGTAAAAGAGACACGTAGGAATAAGAGTTTGGAGTTATAAGATGATTCTTCCATTGGCTATCCTCCAAGAACACGTCAGTGTACAATGCTTCGGCTGGGCTGGGCTGGTTTTGTTTGTTTTGCACTGAAAGTGACAATACACCAAAGAGAGAAAATGATATATAGGTAGGTGTTGTGCATATCTTGAGGCGCAATAAGTACTTAAAAAGATATTCTCTCTAATATAAAATAGATTGAGTGACTGCGGTTAAACGGTTAAAATTTGAATCATAATATAAGTTATCAGATCTAAAACGATTTGAACCGTTATTGTACTTTGTGTAAACAGGATTTTATGTTTTATTATATAAATGACACAAATGGTGTGAAGTACAAAAGAACACTTGATAAACATCTAACTAAGGAAAGGTAAATGAAATTAGGGGTGATAATTGAGTCGAGTTTTACGAGTTTAAGTCGAGCCTGTCAAACAAGTCAAAAAAATTGTTTAATTTCTGCTCGTTTAAAAAACGAGTCGAATCAAACTAAATCCAAAATGAGCCGAACTCGAGTAATTCGACTATTTTATATATAAATAAGTCGAGTCTAAAAAATTGTTTAAACTCGACTCATTTAGAAAACGAAACGAGCAAAGTCTGAACCGAGCCCCAAAATTGACTCTTAGTAGCTTGACTCGATTATCAATCCTAAATACAATGAACCAAGAAACGTGAAAATTTGATAGTCTTAATTTATTATTTCATAAAATTGAAGAGGTTTTTCTCGAACTTTTTTTCTTATTAAGTCAAGGTTTATTGCATATTGCCTTGTAGATATAAGGTAATGTGTGATTATTCTTTCGTAAAAGAACGATGATTTCTTTGAGATATTATTATTGTAGGATCGGTCAATTATTTAGTAAAAAATTGTGTTGTGTCTTTAAAACCACTTAGAGAGAGAGTCTTAGTTATTATTTCATAAAATTGGAGAGGGTTTTCTCTAACTTTTTGTTTTCTTATAGATTCGATGTTTATTGCATATTGACTTATAAATACATGGTCGTGTTCTTTAATAAAAGAACGATGATTTCTTTGTGTTGTGTCTTTGAACCACTTAAAGAGAGAGAAAGACCATTGACCTCTCTTCATTCTCTGTAAGGTTTCAAACCTTTCTTCTACATGGGTAACAAGGAGCGAGGTACAGATGGAAGAGATCAAACACGGGAATAAGAAACAAGCTCGCCTTCCTTTTTTAGTCATTTATTTTTTCCGTTACTATGATATGCTCCCTTGCACAATAATAATTTCACTGAAGAAAAAAAAAATATATGAAAAAAAATATTGTGAAATAAATTCTTTTTCTTTTTTTGTGTAAGTTTAAATTCATCGGTGAAAAAAAAAGAAGGTATGGAACATCCAAATATATATGGTTAAAGATGTGACGTTACTTATCGTGAAGGCCCATGGGCAAGATTCTTAGGCCCAGGCCCAGTGCTGTTTAATATTCTAATTTGTAATTGTAATTTTTTTTTTGTTTTTTTTATGCTCAAAATTCAAAATAACATACAAAACCAATTTTTTTTTTTTTCATCCAATATACAAATCCAATTAAAAATGACGTATTTACATATTAAATTATAATTGCTGCTATAGNTCCATTGGCTATCCTCCAAGAACACGTCAGTGTACAATGCTTCGGCTGGGCTGGGCTGGTTTTGTTTGTTTTGCACTGAAAGTGACAATACACCAAAGAGAGAAAATGATATATAGGTAGGTGTTGTGCATATCTTGAGGCGCAATAAGTACTTAAAAAGATATTCTCTCTAATATAAAATAGATTGAGTGACTGCGGTTAAACGGTTAAAATTTGAATCATAATATAAGTTATCAGATCTAAAACGATTTGAACCGTTATTGTACTTTGTGTAAACAGGATTTTATGTTTTATTATATAAATGACACAAATGGTGTGAAGTACAAAAGAACACTTGATAAACATCTAACTAAGGAAAGGTAAATGAAATTAGGGGTGATAATTGAGTCGAGTTTTACGAGTTTAAGTCGAGCCTGTCAAACGAGTCAAAAAAATTGTTTAATTTCTGTTCGTTTAAAAAACAAGTCAAATCGAACTAAATTCAAAATGAGTCGAATTCGAGTAACTCGACTATTTTATATATAAATAAGTCGAGTCTAAAAAATTGTTCAACCTCGACTCATTTGTAGATATAAGGTAATGTGTGATTATTCTTTCGTAAAAGAACGATGATTTCTTTGAGATATTATTATTGTAGGATTGGTCAATTATTTAGTAAAAAATTGTGTTGTGTCTTTAAAACCACTTAGAGAGAGAGCCNGATTAATTTATCCTTAATAAAATAAATAATTATATTACATAATTTACACAGTGACGCGAACTAGACAACTACACGATCACAGTAATAATCACAGTGATAATGACAAATATAGTGAATTTCATTGTAATTGTCCAAGTTTTAGGGTGCGAATTTAAAATATATTTTGTTTAATACCAAAAAAGATTATCCTATTTAATCGACCACAATTATTAACAAATTTGTTCTATTAAGTTTCTAATGCATTTAATCGAACGCTATTTGGGCATACATGCAAACTTTTCTTCTTCGTCAATTTCAAATTCTTATACAAAAAAATAATAATAATTAAGACGGGCATACTCCAGCAACTTTTCTGTNTCTTTGTGTTGTGTCTTTGAACCACTTAAAGAGAGAGAAAGACCATTGACCTCTCTTCATTCTCTGTAAGGTTTCAAACCTTTCTTCTACATGGGTAACAAGGAGCGAGGTAGAGATGGAAGAGATCAAACACAGAAATAAGAAACAAGCTCGCCTTCTTTTTTTAGTCATTTATTTTTTCCGTTACTATGATATGCTCCCTTGCACAATAATAATTTCACTGAAGAGAAAAAAAATATATGAAAAAAAATATTGTGAAATAAATTCTTTTTCTTTTTTTGTGTAAGTTTAAATTCATCGGTGAAAAAAAAAAGAAGGCATGGAACATCCAAATATATATGGTTAAAGATGTGACGTTACTTATCGTGAAGGTCCATGGGCAAGATTCTTAGGCCCAGGCCCAGTGCTGTTTAATATTCTAATTTGTAATTGTAATTTTTTTTTTTTTTTATGCTCAAAATTCAAAATAACATACAAAACCAATTTTTTTTTTTTCATCCAATATACAAATCCAATTAAAAATGACGTATTTACATATTAAATTATAATTGCTGCTATGGTCAATGGCCAACCCATGGTCCAAGATGCCTGGCCCAAATTCTGATTTTTCTGGAGTGGACTACCAGGGCCCAATATTATGGCGGCCCATTCGGGCCACTGCTTTTGGTGGTGTTCACTGTTGAGGAAGCTCAATTAAAAATAATAAGGAATCTCAAACTTCGGTATTATGCATGCACTGAGGGTTAGCAGTTGATCTAATTGTTATCACATCTACTTTTTGTATCTGAAGGTCGCATATTTGAACTTCGTCGGATTCCTCCCTTGTGTTGGTTTTTGAAGAAGGATAGACGCGTTCTTTTTAGAACTTAAAAGATAATTAAAAGTATAAAGATTAATTTATCCTTAATAAAATAAATAATTATATTACATAATTTACACAGTGACGTGAACTAGACAACTACACGATCGTAGTAATAATCACAGTGATAATGACAAATATAGTGAATTTCGTTGTAATTGTCCAAGTTTTAGGGTGCGAATTTAAAATATATTTTGTTTAATACCAAAAAAAATTATCCTATTTAATCGCCCACAATTATTAACAAATTTGTTCTATTAAGTTTCTAATGCATTTAATCGAACGCTATTTGGGCATAAATGCAAACTTTTCTTCTTGGTCAATTTCAAATTCTTATACAAAAAAATAATAATAATTAAGACGGGCATACTCCAGCAACTTTTCTTTNCAAAAATAGTGGTGCTTGGATGGTCGATAAAGCAATCAATTTCAACCGCAAAGCATTTATGTATGAATGATACCATAGCAGAAAGAAGATTTACTATACATAAGGTGATCTAGTGGAAAATCAAAGGAAAGTAGAACCATAATTTCAATGTTGAGATGACCTATATTTCCAGATTCAAGAAATGGGCTAATTTAAACTGGTCTGTGATTGTAGTATGCAGCATTCAAAAGCAAGGATGTTTTTTTTTTCTGGTTCGTGCCTTTCCTCTCGAGTGTATTTACACATGGACATGAACTCATATTTATGCTCTTAAAAGTGTGGGTGCGCATGAAGCTAATGTAGTTTTTTCAATGGCACTGTCATACATTGTTGTAGAAATTGTCTTGTGAACATTGATGCAAACTTTGTTTCCCTTCCACCTGCATATATTTTTGCCATGTTGAGTGGCACCCCCATTTAGGCTCTAACAAAATGTCATAGCTGCATTCTTCTTGCACGTATTAAGACTGGTACAGCCAAAGATAAGGGGATTTGGATTTAATAGCCTTTTTCTTAATTTCTGGCAGCCAGAATATCGTAATCCTGGCCTTGAACCAGTTGTCGTTGCTGCAATCCCAACGATGAAGTTTGACCGCAAGGCTTTCAGTTCTATGGAAGATGCACAGTAAGTGTAGCCGCCCATATTCAAGGGCGCCCATACAAAATAAACTCTTGCTATTAAACATACAATCTATTGAGTTGTTGTCATACTTGCTAGGCAGACCCCNTTCCTCTCCAAAAACTTGTTTATGTTCGTTCACCACTAGCGGCTTTGCTCTACCCCAATTATTCGTTACCGACTGCTTCAACTCCTTAAATATCCTCAACAAATCCTTCCGTGAGATTTGAAAATTACAAGTAGCTAGAATTGATTTGTGATAGTTACTTTGCTTTAATGTTTCACCCACTCAAAAAACAACACTTGGGACATTTATTTTCACCAAAACAGATCATATGAATGACATAAAGTTGAACATGCTCTAAATCATATGAATGACACATAGAATAATCCTTTCAAAGAAAAAAAAAAGTTGGAGAGACAGGAGGTCTAGGCCATATCCAAAACATATAAAGTAGTAAAACCGACAATCCACGCAAAAATATGGAACAACCCATATATTTTCTGTCACTCCTTCAAGGAATCTTGCAGAATCAACCCCTTTTTAATGCTGAGAATTTCTTTCAGCCGCCAAATCCCCAGACCACCTCTCATCAGCCGTCTGATGAGAAAACCCCTTAAATGGGCGGGGTCAAGATTCCAACTGGGACCCACTGGGACCCAGTGTACTGCTAGTCCAAGGGAGCAAGCCAAGAAAACGAATAGCATGTCTCTCATCCACATCATTCATGGCCTTCTTTTGTCTTATACATTGAGTCCACTCAAAGGGATTAGGATTCCCTATGGGTAACTTGTTTTGAGATTCCCCTTTTAAACTTGTTTCGAAAATGTTTCGCTTTTTTAGGTGTGTCTTGGTCTGGGTGGGTCTTTGTCACCGTCTTGTTTGATTGTTTCCTGTGCTGGTATTACCTTGTTGGATTTTGTGGGGTTTTTTTACAGTTTCCTTGAATTGGGTTTCCGTAATTGATTTAAAAAGTCTTTCAATCTCCTCCATTTCTTGACGAATCTAGATTTGGGTTTGCGGGTTNGGTGGGTCTTTGTCACCGTCTTGTTTGATTGTTTCCTGTGCTGGTATTACCTTGTTGGATTTTGTGGGGTTTTTTTACAGTTTCCTTGAATTGGGTTTTCCGTAATTGATTTAAAAAGTCTTTCAATCTCCTCCATTTCTTGACGAATCTAGATTTGGGTTTGCGGGTTTTTTTTTAGCAGTTTCCTTAAATTGGGTTATTTGTAATTGGTTCTACAACAGTCTTTCAAGCTCTCCCATTTCTTGATGAATCTTGATATGGGTATTTTTAGCTACTTTCATTCCCTTTGCGGATTGGTTTTTTGCAATCTATTTATCTAGGGTGTTCTAATTAGACTTCAGTTTTTGGGAAATTGGGGTTGAGGAACTGTTGAATTTGGAGGATGTTAGGCTCGGGTATGAATTTGATTACCACAGTGATTGGATTTGGGATGAGTGCCACTTTTATTGTATTTGTCTGCACTAGACTAATTTGTGGGAGGCTCCGGCGGACGGAGTCACGGCAGATGTTTGAAATTGATGCAAGGACCGATATCGAACTGGTAAAAACTGATACATACCTGTGTTAGATTTGCTTATATCATCAGTTCTTGGCTTTTCCTGGTTCACTGACCTGTTCTGTTGGCCTTGTTGTTTGCTGAGATGTATTGATCTAGTAATCCTCACCCATCGTATTTATGTTGCTAAGTCACTAAAATGCAGTTGTTCTACCTTGGNACTCCTTCAGGCGAAGCACAAATAAGATCATGATTCAGAACTGGTTGCAGTCCATTGTTCTTTCTCGGAATTCGTCAAACCGGTCTGCTTTCAATGGCTCTGGATAAGAAATGGGGGCTGGGTTTCCAGGCATTGAAATTGCCAGATGAAGCTGNAAGTTTGACCGCAAGGCTTTCAGTTCTATGGAAGATGCACAGTAAGTGTAGCCGCCCATATTTAAGGGCGCCCATACAAAATAAACTCTTGCTATTAAACATACAATCTATTGAGTTGTTGTCATACTTGCTAAGCAGACCTCTAATTAGCTTCTAGTTGTTTATTTTCTGTCTCTACTCAGCCTGTGGATATTGAGAACCTGGTACAATAGGGTGTGGTATGTTGTATAAATTCTACATGCCAGGACTCCACATTTTGGGAACCAATCTAGTAAAGCTGGCAGTTTTCATTGTTTTAGGCTTGCTTCATGTTTGAGCTATAGGTTTATCGGTGTTGAATTCAATTGCTTCCCAGTGGGAGAGTTATTATTTTTCCCAGTAAATTGAGGAAGATTAGAACTTATTGATAAAGAAATCATTCTATTTTTGCTCTAGAAGAGATTTAATCCCTTCTAATTGCAGGTGTACAATATGTTTGGGGGAGTACCAAGAAAAAGAAGTACTGAGAATCATGCCCAAATGCGGCCACAGTTTTCATCTCTCTTGCATTGATGTATGGTTAAGGAAACAGTCTACTTGTCCAGTTTGCCGTCTTCCAGTACAGGATTCCTTTCAAACAAGACATATCCGGAGAGCAACGCTTAATATGGCCGATTCTGTTGATAGTCCCGAGATTTCAATTGAGTATTCTCAGCAATGGCTGCTACCAACTGCTGCACGCTCAGAAGGTAGTCAAAGTAACGAAAGGCCTGCTGAATCTGTTTCGATAAACCTGGAACCGACTCCTTCAGGCGAAGCACAAATAAGATCATGATTCAGAACTGGTTGCAGTCCATTATTCTTTCTCGGAATTTGTCAAACCGGTCTGCTTTCAATGGCTCTGGATAAGAAATGGGGGCTGGGTTTCCAGGCATTGAAATTGCCAGATGAAGCAGGTGCTGCACACACCTTGTTTGCTGGGTAATGAATCTTATTTGATGATTTGAATCATTACTGATAGTTTTGAGTGTTGTGGAGATTGAGGTTATATTGTGCTCTCTTCATTTAAGCATACACCATTTAGTTTTGTACATTATATAGTAATTTATGAATGTTCCAACTATATATTGTGATTCTTCTGCAAATTTTTACTTGATTGCCTGAAGTATTACATCTACTAGTGCATATTCTTAACAATAAACATGTCCAACCTTCTGGCTGCATTTTTTCTCACTCCAAAACCATATACTTACAGATTCTCCTAACTAATCATCCAAATTTTTAGGAACTTATAAATGATTCTGAATTACCACGAATCTCAATGCCCAAGAATTGCCAATTGACCGCGTAAATAACTAAGTGATTTGGCCAGCCAAGAAATATTGAATGGTGATGTGGGCGGGGGTTTTCAAGGAAACACAACTGATATTGGCTTATTTGTATAAAAAAAAAAAATAGAGTTCGTTATAAAAAAATAATTTTAGTCCCAAATTCTCTAGGGTGCAACTTAGATGGGTTAAGTAGTTACTTTGACTTTAATCCGAACTCGATGTTTTAGTACAAGGATTGTTGTTGGACGGACTAAATGGAGGAATACATTTGTGGGTTGTTTGGTTATAGTATTAAGGAGTCAAAATAAATTAAAACTCTCTAATCGGATATAATATTTTGTTTGGTTGACAAATTTGATTCCGTATTAATTTCAAAATGTATACTAATTGTATATTTATCATATAGTTTTTTATACTATAGACCTGTATTATAGAGGTATTTTAATACTACCAAGAGAGGTGATATTATAATTTAACTTAAATGTATTATTATACACATTTATCATTATAACCCCACAATTAATAAATCTAAATTATTATCAACATAACAAATACTGATTGTAGGTATTTTTATTAATTCAATATTATGAAATAATTCTCTAATCAAACAACGATATCGACTAAATAATTACTGTCCAACTCTTATACTTTACATTGTTAGACACTAGATAAAATTACGTATTATTTTTTTAATATCCAATTTAATCTTACGTTTTGTTCATCTATATTGTATTATACTGGATTTTTTAATCCAATCCATTTATTTCTAATACGGCAACCAAATGAGCCTCTGGTATATTGTACGAGAGACTTATACACTTAAAAGATAAGTTCTATAGAAATGTTATATAAGTCTCGTCACGTTTTTATGATACCAAGTGTTGGACAACTAAGAAATAATATATTTAATGACTAAGTTTGATGGAAATAAGAATGTTAATATGGATGTATGTTAAAATTAAGAAAGATGAATTGGAAACAATTATATCCATGAAAGAATAGAGGTACACTTACAAGTGATAAAACTAATGGAGAATCAATTTAGGTGGTTCTAAAATAATTACAGACTATTTGTTTCAATACCGATGAAAAAAAATAGATACGATAATTATTGATAGTAAATATAAAAAGCCAAAAAGGGATGTCAAAATTTAATTCAAATTAAAATAGATATAATAGCGTGGGAGAATTTATAAAATTAATATAAAAAATATTGGGATAAGACTCCGTTGAATTAAGGTGAATTGATGAAACTTAGATGAGATTCGGGTTCGATCCTAAAATTCTCCTCTTTGGCCCATGAGCNGTTATAAAAAAATAATTTTAGTCCCAAATTCTCTAGGGTGCAACTTAGATGGGTTAAGTAGTTACTTTGACTTTAATCCGAACTCGATGTTTTAGTACAAGGATTGTTGTTGGACGGACTAAATGGAGGAATACATTTGTGGGTTGTTTGGTTATAGTATTAAGGAGTCAAAATAAATTAAAACTCTCTAATCGAATATAATATTTTGTTTGGTTGACAAATTTGATTCTGTATTAATTTCAAAAACGTATACTAATTGTATATTTATCATATAATTTTTTATACTATAGACCTGTATTATAGAGGTATTTTAATACTACCAAGAGAGGTGATATTATAATTTAACTTAAATGTATTATTGTACACATTTATCATTATAACCCCACAATTAATAAATCTAAATTATTATCAACATAACAAATACTGATTGTAGGTATTTTTATTAATTCAATATTATGAAATAATTCTCTAATCAAACAACGATATCGACTAAATAATTACTGTCCAACTCTTATACTTTACATTGTTAAATACTAGATAAAATTACGTATTATTTTTTTAATATCCAATTTAATCTTATGTTTTGTTCATCTATATTGTATTATACTGGATTTTTTAATCAAATTCATTTATTTCTAATACGGCAACCAAACGAGCCTCTGGTATATTGTATGATGGACTTATATACTTAAAAGATAAGTTCTATAGAAATGTTATATAAGTCTCGTCACGTCTTTATGATACCAAGTGTTGGACAACTAAGAAATAATATATTTAATGACTAAGTTTGATGGAAATAAGAATGTTAATATGGATGTATGTTAAAATTAAGAAAGATGAATTGGAAACAATTATATCCATGAAAGAATAGAGGTACACTTACAAGTGATAAAACTAATGGAGAATCAATTTAGGTGGTTCTAAAATAATTACAGACTATTTGTTTCAATACCGATGAAAAAAAATAGATACGATAATTATTGATAGTAAATATAAANAATAAATTAATTAAAATACACGTACCTTGACTTGAACATCCTTGATCGGTTTAAATATTAACACTTTTAAATAATTGTAAATCACGTGTTGCATAAACAAGATAAAATCAAGATTTTAGCTAGAGATGGTAATATGAAATAATAATCGATAATTGAACTGGGTTTTGTGAGTTCAAACTAAACATGTCGAGTTTATTTTTTTTTAAACGAGTCTAAAAAATTATTCAAGGTCAGCTCGTTTAAAAAATAAGTTAAGTTCAAACTAATCCCAAAATGAACTGAAATTGAATAGCTCAATTATTTTACATATAAAAGAATCAAATTTTACAAGCTCGAATTGAACTTTTTAGGTTTGTTTAATTCGAATTGAAATTGAGTACCTCGACTACTACATATACACGAGACAGAATATTACAAACTCGAACCAAACTTTTTAAATTTGCTTTTCTAAATGATATTAAAAAAATATTTAAATTTAACTCATTTAAAACATGAGCCTAACTCGAATTGGGTTGTACACAGACTAAATTCGCACCAAGCCCGAGTAGCTCGGCTCGATTATCATCATTGCCTGAAATCTTCCCACCCGAACTAAGCGGACTGGTATTACTGCACTCCATTGCATGTTCAGTTTGTCCAAATTACAATGTGAGGTTGCAAGGGTAGAACATAATTGCAACCTCTCATTTAATCATCTGAGCTGGTTTATGAAAACATAATACCTATTTACACACAAGGGGATGATAATACAAACTACCTCTAAAAGCTTATTCTTCTGGAAGTTATGGTTTCACCCAAAAAACAAAAAAAAATTAAAATTAACAACAATATAACATCTTATGATACAATTTGCAGGGTGCCCTTGGATTCTGATTATGGTGGTTGGAATCCAGAAAATGTCCCCATGTGGAAGATCCTGCTAGAGAACCCCGAAAGCAATTCTGTAAAACAGAGACTGATCATAGCCTGCATGATTTTCAATTACTACCAGAGCAATTTCAAAACGATGACTTTCCACTGTTAAGCTCCTTGTCCAATCAAATCTGTGGAGTAGCTCAAGCCAAGGTAATCCGAGGACTGGATGCATATGTTCCATGTAATCATCATATAAGGATGTTGGGAAGTGTTTGCCCTTCCAGAGAAGCTTGCTATCCTTTCACAAGCAAATTATGCAGCTTCACAAAATTATCCAATGAGAGCTCCTCTGGCCTCGACTGCATGAACAATCAGCATACATGAAGTTGTCGGGTTAAAATTTTGTGTTGAGTATCAAACAATGGGACACGTTAAAAACCAATACTTACTGTGGCAGGAAGGCCAACATTTCCAAGAGCTTCTTCAATCTCAGAGGAGGTACATATGTGCTGTAACGTCTTACGCAACATCTTACGCTTCCCATTAAATGCGGAATTGACCTCAATCCAATAAGGACAGATGCATATTATCAGTTCCCTAATGGAAGATAGCGACTTAGAGGGCTATAACTATCACCGCATATTCTGTAAACGGAAAAATCAGCCTGTGACTAGAAGTATGATAACAGACGTACAAGGAACTTCATCCCAAGAACCGTAATACGCTCAATGTTTAGTTGCAATAAGGATGTTGGCTCAACCCTAGGACGCTAGGACTATACAAAGCTAATTCATGTCTTAGATGCAAATTTTTAAGATGTAAAGCACAAAAAGAAAAGAACACAAGATTAACAGCTTCAAAATTTGTATCCACCTAAATGAAAGAAAGAAAATCCTGTAATATCTTACTGCTAGTAAGGTGCATTGATTGGCCCAAAGAAACCAGAATAGAATTACAGCCTAAGCTAGCACTATCATTAGCCAAACCTTTTCATGACAGTTGGTATATACAAGAATACTAATAAATTGGCAGCAGGTGAAATACCATTGAGAAGAAACTTTTGGTGGAGGAAATTGGAGGATAGTCCACAGATTGCTTCAGTCTAAATGCAACAATTGCTGCATCAACCTACACAAACATAAAAATTGATCAGATCAATCTTAACAGAAAAATCATAATAATGCACATAAATGCATGCATAACATTTACATTGGAAAATAACAATGATTTTTGAATCCACATCATTAGGGACTATATCTTGTCCCTATGAGTCTATGACCACAATGCTACACACTTTCAGAGTACTATTTAGTATTGAAGACACATAGGTATTTATAACAAATTAATATGGAGTCATGCAGCCCAATAAGCATCAGTGGGCTTTCAGTTGTGGCACATGGCAGAGCATCATCATATTAAACCTTTCAATCGGGCAAGTAGAAAGAATGTGCTCAATTCCATTACAACTATTAAATCTCATCTACCCAATGGTCTAAACTTTTGCTATTCCAATATTGCACTCACGATATTACAAACTGCAGTGATTTGCAAACTATTATTCGAAAATCTATCCCAGGGAGAATATAGACCATTTGCCCTAAATTGCTGCAGGGCAGTCGGATTATATGTACAAGCCTACTTTGTTCATTTTCTTAAGCCCTGTAACAAGGGCATGCTTATGAGCGTTAGGAGGAGGGAAAACAATGTGAAAGTGATCTTTACAATGAAAAGGCTTATAAGAGAACAGTCTTATGCNACTTAAAAGATAAGTTCTATAGAAATGTTATATAAGTCTCGTCACGTTTTTATGATACCAAGTGTTGGACAACTAAGAAATAATATATTTAATGACTAAGTTTGATGGAAATAAGAATGTTAATATGGATGTATGTTAAAATTAAGAAAGATGAATTGGAAACAATTATATCCATGAAAGAATAGAGGTACACTTACAAGAGATAAAACTAATGGAGAATCAATTTAGGTGGTTCTAAAATAATTACAGACTATTTGTTTCAATACCGATGAAAAAAAATAGATACGATAATTATTGATAGTAAATATAAAAAGCCAAAAAGGGATGTCAAAATTTAATTCAAATTAAAATAGATATAATAGCGTGGGAGAATTTATAAAATTAATATAAAAAATATTGGGATAAGACTCCGTTGAATTAAGGTGAATTGATGAAACTTAGATGAGATTCGGGTTCGATCCTAAAATTCTCCTCTTTGGCCCATGAGCCACCCCATTCCGACCCAACCCGGATTGTTAGACAGTCAATACCAAAACAACAAACACAGACTGCCTATATATAGATATATATATATATATAGAGAGATATAGAGAGAGAGAGAGAGAGCGAGAATATGGACATGGTGACAGAGGTCCCAACGCCAGCAATATCAGAGCTAGTAAGGGCACTAGAACAAGCAACCCTAATGGCAAAACAACTCGCAAACACCACAGACCCATCCCAAGTCCTCCAATTCCGCTCTTCTCTCCACTCAGCTCAGCACCACCTGTCTTCTTTCCTCTCCCAAACCACCCACCAACCACCCCACAATCCACCACCGCCACCCCACACAACCACAACAGAAAACTCCATCACCTCCGCCGTGGGGGCCGATGAGAACGACGCAGAGCCGATGGAAGTGGGCGACGATGATGAAGTTGAAACGGAGCAGAATTCGAAGACAACAGTTGAGAGGGTTGAGGAAAAAATGAGGGATTGTTTTATTCAGAATAAGAGGGTGAAGAGGCCGTTGTCGCCGACGGCAGCGGCCGTGGCGGAGCTGCGGCGGATCTCTAGGGATGAATTTGCGAGGGATTTGGAAGAGTTTGATCCTCATGGGACTAAGTTGAGGTCTTTGGAACTTATTTATCAATTCCATGGTTGAATGTGAATCAATGGCTATTGAATGGACAGACAGACCATTTTGTTTGTAACATCATAATCTAGTGGTCTTTGTAAAATTAAAGACCAGAACGTTGTAAGTCTTGCTTGACTTCTGTGTGTGTGTGAGAGAGAGAGAGAGAGAGAGAGAGAGAGAGATCCAATGTGTGTTGTGAAAGAAGAGGCAAACCTACGTTTCGCAATTCAGAATCAGAAAACCCTAGGCTCACGTGGCAAAATTGACCAATTGCAAATTCGGACATCTTAATTTTGAATTTTAATATTTTAGTCTAGACCTTAATAGTCTATATTTAATTAAATCGAAGAATAAATTAATTGAAATACACGTACCTTGACTTGAACATCCTTGATCGGTTTAAATATTAACACTTTTAAATAATTGTAAATCACGTGTTGCATAAACAAGATAAAATCAAGATTTTAGTTGGAGATGATAATATGAGATAATAATCGATAATTGAATTGGGTTTTGTGAGTTCAAACTAAACATGTCGAGTTTGTTTTTTTTAAACGAGTCTAAAAAATTATTCAAAGTCAGCTCGTTTAAAAAATAAGTTAAGCTCAAACTAATCCCAAAATGAACTGAAATTGAATAACTCAATTATTTTACATATAAAATAATCAAATTTTACAAGCTCGAATTGAACTTTTTAGGTTTGTTTAATTCGAATTGAAATTGAGTACCTCGACTACTACATATACACGAGACAGAATATTACAAACTTGAACCGAATTTTTTAAATTTGCTTTTCTAAACGATATTAAAAAAATATTTAAATTTAACTCATTTAAAACATGAGTCTAACTCGAATTGGACTAAATTCGCACCAAGCCCGAGTAGCTCGGCTCGATTATCATCATTGCCTGAAATCTTCCCACCCGAACTAAGCGGACTGGTATTAGTGCACTCCATTGCATGCTCAGTTTGTCCAAATTACAATGTGAGGTTGCAAGGGTAGAACATAATTGCAACCTCTCATTTAATCATCTGAGCTGGTTTATGAAAACATAATACCTATTTACACACAAGGGGATGATAATACAAACTACTTCTAAAAGCTTATTCTTCTGGAAGTTATGGTTTCACCCAAAAAACAAAAAAAAATTAAAATTAACAACAATATAACATCTTATGATACAATTTGCAGGGTGCCCTTGGATTCTGATTATGGTGGTTGGAATCCAGAAAATGTCCCCATGTGGAAGATCCTGCTAGAGAACCCCGAAAGCAATTCTGTAAAACAGAGACTGATCATAGCCTGCATGATTTTCAATTACTACCAGAGCAATTTCAAAACGATGACTTTCCACTGTTAAGCTCCTTGTCCAATCAAATCTGTGGAGTAGCTCAAGCCAAGGTAATCCGAGGACTGGATGCATATGTTCCATGTAATCATCATATAAGGATGTTGGGAAGTGTTTGCCCTTCCAGAGAAGCTTGCTATCCTTTCACAAGCAAATTATGCAGCTTCACAAAATTATCCAATGAGAGCTCCTCTGGCCTCGACTGCATGAACAATCAGCATACATGAAGTTGTCGGGTTAAAATTTTGTGTTCAGTATCAAACAATGGGACACGTTAAAAACCAATACTTACTGTGGCAGGAAGGCCAACATTTCCAAGAGCTTCTTCAATCTCAGAGGAGGTACATATGTGCTGTAACGTCTTACGCAACATCTTACGCTTCCCATTAAATGCGGAATTGACCTCAATCCAATAAGGACAGATGCATATTATCAGTTCCCTAATGGAAGATAGCGACTTAGAGGGCTATAACTATCACCGCATATTCTGTAAACGGAAAAATCAGCCTGTGACTAGAAGTATGATAACAGACGTACAAGGAACTTCATCCCAAGAACCGTAATACGCTCAATGTTTAGTTGCAATAAGGATGTTGGCTCAACCCTAGGACGCTAGGACTATACAAAGCTAATTCATGTCTTAGATGCAAATTTTTAAGATGTAAAGCACAAAAAGAAAAGAACACAAGATTAACAGCTTCAAAATTTGTATCCACCTAAATGAAAGAAAGAAAATCCTGTAATATCTTACTGCTAGTAAGGTGCATTGATTGGCCCAAAGAAACCAGAATAGAATTACAGCCTAAGCTAGCACTATCATTAGCCAAACCTTTTCATGACAGTTGGTATATACAAGAATACTAATAAATTGGCAGCAGGTGAAATACCATTGAGAAGAAACTTTTGGTGGAGGAAATTGGAGGATAGTCCACAGATTGCTTCAGTCTAAATGCAACAATTGCTGCATCAACCTACACAAACATAAAAATTGATCAGATCAATCTTAACAGAAAAATCATAATAATGCACATAAATGCATGCATAACATTTACATTGGATAATAACAATGATTTTTGAATCCACATCATTAGGGACTATATCTTGTCCCTATGAGTCTATGACCACAATGCTACACACTTTCAGAGTACTATTTAGTATTGAAGACACATAGGTATTTATAACAAATTAATATGGAGTCATGCAGCCCAATAAGCATCAGTGGGCTTTCAGTTGTGGCACATGGCAGAGCATCATCATATTAAACCTTTCAATCGGGCAAGTAGAAAGAATGTGCTCAATTCCATTACAACTATTAAATCTCATCTACCCAATGGTCTAAACTTTTGCTATTCCAATATTGCACTCACGATATTACAAACTGCAGTGATTTGCAAACTATTATTCGAAAATCTATCCCAGGGAGAATATAGACCATTTGCCCTAAATTGCTGCAGGGCAGTCGGATTATATGTACAAGCCTACTTTGTTCATTTTCTTAAGCCCTGTAACAAGGGCATGCTTATGAGCGTTAGGAGGAGGGAAAACAATGTGAAAGTGATCTTTACAATGAAAAGGCTTATAAGAGAACAGTCTTATGCGGCATTTATCACTGTTGATGGATAAACGAATCAGTCACATACTTTAGGTTGAGGGAAAAAATTTGTCCTTGGAACTTTAAATTTGTACTCTGGATCTGAAAAAAAATAAAACGAAAAGAAAAGTTGTGTAAGTTCAAATAAGATTGTGTGAAATAAGAGATTTTGATTTACATTTATCAACAACTCTGACATATCTCAGCTTATAGTTCTTAATGTTATTGACAAAAGGTAACCAGCTAATGTGGTTCTTCTACCAGTTCTTACACAGGTGTTATATTGGAGAGGTACCTGAGTAAAAGTTGATGAAAATATTGATGGGTCGATACTCAGACGTCCTCGAGGATGAATCCACGAAGCGCAAAGCTGCTTCCTCCTGAAATTATTCCCTCGTTATAATGAAGTATGTCAGGCCTGTTAAAGAATCGAGTTTATGATAAAATGGTACACTTATTATGCCAATATGTCAGTCTCTGAAATTATACTGTAGAAGTCCTTGGTCATGCCAATATATCAACTTCTTGCTTATAAAAATTGCCTAGTCACATAAATGTCAACACACACCCACAGAGTCTACTTAAGAGTAGGAATACAATTATTTCTGCATCCAACCAAGATGCCCAAGAGGGGGAGCTATTGGGCTATTGACTTTTAATATCAAAGAGCACACTACTAAAATCCAAAAGATTAACATCTGAGGAAAAATTGAAATTCTGTGAAACAAAGAAGTTATTTCAGAAAGTAAGAAGTGCAAACCTGGAGCAAGAGAATGACTTCTGAGAAAATGTCACCCAATGGAAGAAGTTGTTTAATAACATCTGTACTTATATTGAAAGGTATATTGGAGACTACCTGCGAGCAAGTAACTCAAATAAACTATTTTTAGGATGCTTTCACATGAAAAATGTGATTTTCAACCAGAGCCAATTTTTTGCAGAGTTCAGACTAATTGGAGGAATCATATCATAATACATGAATCATCAGTGGGGAGTCAATTCAGGTATTCTTAATTCAATGTAAGCAGATAAAGAATTATACATGACAAAGCTTATATAATGAGGAAAAATGCTAACAGAACCCATGAAATGATGATGAATTACCTCATGAAAAAGCAGAAATGACAATAACTAAGGTATGATGGGCATGACTAAAGTTGTCAAGACTCAAGATCTTTACACCTACCAATTCCAAGATTCTAGAAACATATAGTAATTTGAAGACATTTGGGAACGTATTAGAGAGAGAGAGAGAGAGAGAGAGAGATATGAGTACTAATTATAGGAACATTAAATGTGTACTTGCATGAGATTCCCTACCAGAGAAGTTTTTGAAGCACCAAGAATAACATAAAGCATTCCATTGGCTCTAATTAATTGTGAGTATTTCAAAAACAGGTAGAGGTATTGCCTAGTCGAGTAGTAATATGCTGGAGCTAACAACTGAGGTAATTGATTTAAATCTGGGGGCAACGGACAACCACTTTGTGCAAATAATAACAAAGCTTAGGTATATATCCAGTCCACCTTTTCCAGCACCCTCAGATGACAGAGATCAAACTAGTTAATGCATTATTTTTGTTCTGATAATATTTCTTGTGACATATATCTCAGAATTTTGAACCGATCTCCTTTGTTACTATATCGATAGAATAATATGTAAGCTTAGTATGGGCATACAAAACTGCTAGATGAGCAACACAAACGAGTCCCCATCCAGTCCTTGACTCATTCATACAATTTACTACTAACTAGTTATTCAGAATATATTTGCAACATAACATATACTGATCTTTTTAGAGTGAACAAATGGCCACACTATAAAGATTGACAATTTCTACATTGCTTTCAGGGTGGAACTGTTAATGTTGTCAAAAGACAGCATGGACAGTGTGGATATATAAACGAAGACTGGTCCTAGTGACTTATTCCTATACTTCAAACTGAAGAAAGGACTGTCGAGTTCTCACCTTTGCATGTGGTGATTTTGCATCCAATAATCTTTCACCTTCAACAAAGGAGAACATATGGGAACGAATATGACATCTAGTAAAATCCTCTTGCAATACCTAAAGAATTCATATACAAACATAAGTAATTAACTCAAAATGCAGTTTTCAACAAGAACTCCCNACATCTAGTAAAATCCTCTTGCAATACCTAAAGAATTCATATACAAACATAAGTAAATAACTCAAAATGCAGTTTTCAACAAGAACTCCCAATGTGTTGCAATTCAATGTGTCTGCGACATTTAAGTCATAAATGCGAAAAAAGACACCGAGCACTAGAATCAATTTGCGTACACAAAACAGAAATAATTGATGAATTTTCATAACTCAGAACATAAAGGCAGAGAGAAGCACAAGGTTTGCTGGAAATCAACGTTTGGTGAAAATGTTCAATTTCAAAGCAAATCATAACTAGACAATCATGACAATGTAGCGTGACCATAAAATATCTGGAAATTGTTGTTTAGACTTTTAGTTTAGCTTAAGACTCCATCAGTCCGGCCAATGACCACTGCTTCGGCAATAAAATATCTTAAAATTGCAAAACTGTAAAAAATCTAGTTCCATTAACATTTGAGAGTATTACTAGGAAAGTGGATGCAAACTGTAAGTAACAACTAGTTCTCCAACAGTATACAATCGTTGAGCATTTTGGAGTGAATGACTCCTAATGATTTCTGTTTTTAAAACAAAGTTTTTTTTGAAGCAAGAAAGCTGTTGTTCTACAATCTAACAATATCAAGCCTCCAACAGTAAAATCCTCTACACAAAGCATAGATTACCTTTACCCGGTCCACATTAGCAAATCGTTCTCTAACAAGTGCGGCCATGTATGGATCCTACAACTCACACAAAATCCACAATCAAGTCGCGATTACCAGAAAATTAAAATACTACATAATCTTAAAAATAGTGATGCAATTGGCATAGTTTGAAACAAATAGCTTGACTACTCTCTCATTCATATCATAACGCCCTATTCTCAGACAGTGCTCTGAAAAACTTAAATTGGTTCCTTACTAAAATTTTTAAACGGTATAAGCAGAACTGATAGAATAAAATTACACTTAGGCGCGCAAAAAAATAACATTAAAGGNTTTTTTTTAAACGAGTCTAAAAAATTATTCAAGGTCAGCTCGTTTAAAAAATAAGTTAAGTTCAAACTAATCCCAAAATGAACTGAAATTGAATAGCTCAATTATTTTACATATAAAAGAATCAAATTTTACAAGCTCGAATTGAACTTTTTAGGTTTGTTTAATTCGAATTGAAATTGAGTACCTCGACTACTACATATACACGAGACAGAATATTACAAACTTGAACCGAATTTTTTAAATTTGCTTTTCTAAACGATATTAAAAAAATATTTAAATTTAACTCATTTAAAACATGAGTCTAACTCGAATTGGACTAAATTCGCACCAAGCCCGAGTAGCTCGGCTCGATTATCATCATTGCCTGAAATCTTCCCACCCGAACTAAGCGGACTGGTATTAGTGCACTCCATTGCATGCTCAGTTTGTCCAAATTACAATGTGAGGTTGCAAGGGTAGAACATAATTGCAACCTCTCATTTAATCATCTGAGCTGGTTTATGAAAACATAATACCTATTTACACACAAGGGGATGATAATACAAACTACTTCTAAAAGCTTATTCTTCTGGAAGTTATGGTTTCACCCAAAAAACAAAAAAAAATTAAAATTAACAACAATATAACATCTTATGATACAATTTGCAGGGTGCCCTTGGATTCTGATTATGGTGGTTGGAATCCAGAAAGTGTCCCCATGTGGAAGATCCTGCTAGAGAACCCCGAAAGCAATTCTGTAAAACAGAGACTGATCATAGCCTGCATGATTTTCAATTACTACCAGAGCAATTTCAAAACGATGACTTTCCACTGTTAAGCTCCTTGTCCAATCAAATCTGTGGAGTAGCTCAAGCCAAGGTAATCCGAGGACTGGATGCATATGTTCCATGTAATCATCATATAAGGATGTTGGGAAGTGTTTGCCCTTCCAGAGAAGCTTGCTATCCTTTCACAAGCAAATTATGCAGCTTCACAAAATTATCCAATGAGAGCTCCTCTGGCCTCGACTGCATGAACAATCAGCATACATGAAGTTGTCGGGTTAAAATTTTGTGTTGAGTATCAAACAATGGGACACGTTAAAAACCAATACTTACTGTGGCAGGAAGGCCAACATTTCCAAGAGCTTCTTCAATCTCAGAGGAGGTACATATGTGCTGTAACGTCTTACGCAACATCTTACGCTTCCCATTAAATGCGGAATTGACCTCAATCCAATAAGGACAGATGCATATTATCAGTTCCCTAATGGAAGATAGCGACTTAGAGGGCTATAACTATCACCGCATATTCTGTAAACGGAAAAATCAGCCTGTGACTAGAAGTATGATAACAGACGTACAAGGAACTTCATCCCAAGAACCGTAATACGCTCAATGTTTAGTTGCAATAAGGATGTTGGCTCAACCCTAGGACGCTAGGACTATACAAAGCTAATTCATGTCTTAGATGCAAATTTTTAAGATGTAAAGCACAAAAAGAAAAGAACACAAGATTAACAGCTTCAAAATTTGTATCCACCTAAATGAAAGAAAGAAAATCCTGTAATATCTTACTGCTAGTAAGGTGCATTGATTGGCCCAAAGAAACCAGAATAGAATTACAGCCTAAGCTAGCACTATCATTAGCCAAACCTTTTCATGACAGTTGGTATATACAAGAATACTAATAAATTGGCAGCAGGTGAAATACCATTGAGAAGAAACTTTTGGTGGAGGAAATTGGAGGATAGTCCACAGATTGCTTCAGTCTAAATGCAACAATTGCTGCATCAACCTACACAAACATAAAAATTGATCAGATCAATCTTAACAGAAAAATCATAATAATGCACATAAATGCATGCATAACATTTACATTGGAAAATAACAATGATTTTTGAATCCACATCATTAGGGACTATATCTTGTCCCTATGAGTCTATGACCACAATGCTACACACTTTCAGAGTACTATTTAGTATTGAAGACACATAGGTATTTATAACAAATTAATATGGAGTCATGCAGCCCAATAAGCATCAGTGGGCTTTCAGTTGTGGCACATGGCAGAGCATCATCATATTAAACCTTTCAATCGGGCAAGTAGAAAGAATGTGCTCAATTCCATTACAACTATTAAATCTCATCTACCCAATGGTCTAAACTTTTGCTATTCCAATATTGCACTCACGATATTACAAACTGCAGTGATTTGCAAACTATTATTCGAAAATCTATCCCAGGGAGAATATAGACCATTTGCCCTAAATTGCTGCAGGGCAGTCGGATTATATGTACAAGCCTACTTCGTTCATTTTCTTAAGCCCTGTAACAAGGGCATGCTTATGAGCGTTAGGAGGAGGGAAAACAATGTGAAAGTGATCTTTACAATGAAAAGGCTTATAAGAGAACAGTCTTATGCGGCATTTATCACTGTTGATGGATAAACGAATCAGTCACATACTTTAGGTTGAGGGAAAAAATTTGTCCTTGGAACTTTAAATTTGTACTCTGGATCTGAAAAAAAATAAAACGAAAAGAAAAGTTGTGTAAGTTCAAATAAGATTGTGTGAAATAAGAGATTTTGATTTACATTTATCAACAACTCTGACATATCTCAGCTTATAGTTCTTAATGTTATTGACAAAAGGTAACCAGCTAATGTGGTTCTTCTACCAGTTCTTACACAGGTGTTATATTGGAGAGGTACCTGAGTAAAAGTTGATGAAAATATTGATGGGTCGATACTCAGACGTCCTCGAGGATGAATCCACGAAGCGCAAAGCTGCTTCCTCCTGAAATTATTCCCTCGTTATAATGAAGTATGTCAGGCCTGTTAAAGAATCGAGTTTATGATACAATGGTACACTTATTATGCCAATATGTCAGTCTCTGAAATTATACTGTAGAAGTCCTTGGTCATGCCAATATATCAACTTCTTGCTTATAAAAATTGCCTAGTCACATAAATGTCAACACACACCCACAGAGTCTACTTAAGAGTAGGAATACAATTATTTCTGCATCCAACCAAGATGCCCAAGAGGGGGAGCTATTGGGCTATTGACTTTTAATATCAAAGAGCACACTACTAAAATCCAAAAGATTAACATCTGAGGAAAAATTGAAATTCTGTGAAACAAAGAAGTTATTTCAGAAAGTAAGAAGTGCAAACCTGGAGCAAGAGAATGACTTCTGAGAAAATGTCACCCAATGGAAGAAGTTGTTTAATAACATCTGTACTTATATTGAAAGGTATATTGGAGACTACCTGCGAGCAAGTAACTCAAATAAACTATTTTTAGGATGCTTTCACATGAAAAATGTGATTTTCAACCAGAGCCAATTTTTTGCAGAGTTCAGACTAATTGGAGGAATCATATCATAATACATGAATCATCAGTGGGGAGTCAATTCAGGTATTCTTAATTCAATGTAAGCAGATAAAGAATTATACATGACAAAGCTTATATAATGAGGAAAAATGCTAACAGAACCCATGAAATGATGATGAATTACCTCATGAAAAAGCAGAAATGACAATAACTAAGGTATGATGGGCATGACTAAAGTTGTCAAGACTCAAGATCTTTACACCTACCAATTCCAAGATTCTAGAAACATATAGTAATTTGAAGACATTTGGGAACGTATTAGAGAGAGAGAGAGAGAGAGAGATATGAGTACTAATTATAGGAACATTAAATGTGTACTTGCATGAGATTCCCTACCAGAGAAGTTTTTGAAGCACCAAGAATAACATAAAGCATTCCATTGGCTCTAATTAATTGTGAGTATTTCAAAAACAGGTAGAGGTATTGCCTAGTCGAGTAGTAATATGCTGGAGCTAACAACTGAGGTAATTGATTTAAATCTGGGGGCAACGGACAACCACTTTGTGCAAATAATAACAAAGCTTAGGTATATATCCAGTCCACCTTTTCCAGCACCCTCAGATGACAGAGATCAAACTAGTTAATGCATTATTTTTGTTCTGATAATATTTCTTGTGACATATATCTCAGAATTTTGAACCGATCTCCTTTGTTACTATATCGATAGAATAATATGTAAGCTTAGTATGGGCATACAAAACTGCTAGATGAGCAACACAAACGAGTCCCCATCCAGTCCTTGACTCATTCATACAATTTACTACTAACTAGTTATTCAGAATATATTTGCAACATAACATATACTGATCTTTTTAGAGTGAACAAATGGCCACACTATAAAGATTGACAATTTCTACATTGCTTTCAGGGTGGAACTGTTAATGTTGTCAAAAGACAGCATGGACAGTGTGGATATATAAACGAAGACTGGTCCTAGTGACTTATTCCTATACTTCAAACTGAAGAAAGGACTGTCGAGTTCTCACCTTTGCATGTGGTGATTTTGCATCCAATAATCTTTCACCTTCAACAAAGGAGAACATATGGGAACGAATATGACATCTAGTAAAATCCTCTTGCAATACCTAAAGAATTCATATACAAACATAAGTAAATAACTCAAAATGCAGTTTTCAACAAGAACTCCCAATGTGTTGCAATTCAATGTGTCTGCGACATTTAAGTCATAAATGCGAAAAAAGACACCGAGCACTAGAATCAATTTGCGTACACAAAACAGAAATAATTGATGAATTTTCATAACTCAGAACATAAAGGCAGAGAGAAGCACAAGGTTTGCTGGAAATCAACGTTTGGTGAAAATGTTCAATTTCAAAGCAAATCATAACTAGACAATCATGACAATGTAGCGTGACCATAAAATATCTGGAAATTGTTGTTTAGACTTTTAGTTTAGCTTAAGACTCCATCAGTCCGGCCAATGACCACTGCTTCGGCAATAAAATATCTTAAAATTGCAAAACTGTAAAAAATCTAGTTCCATTAACATTTGAGAGTATTACTAGGAAAGTGGATGCAAACTGTAAGTAACAACTAGTTCTCCAACAGTATACAATCGTTGAGCATTTTGGAGTGAATGACTCCTAATGATTTCTGTTTTTAAAACAAAGTTTTTTTTGAAGCAAGAAAGCTGTTGTTCTACAATCTAACAATATCAAGCCTCCAACAGTAAAATCCTCTACACAAAGCATAGATTACCTTTACCCGGTCCACATTAGCAAATCGTTCTCTAACAAGTGCGGCCATGTATGGATCCTACAACTCACACAAAATCCACAATCAAGTCGCGATTACCAGAAAATTAAAATACTACATAATCTTAAAAATAGTGATGCAATTGGCATAGTTTGAAACAAATAGCTTGACTACTCTCTCATTCATATCATAACGCCCTATTCTCAGACAGTGCTCTGAAAAACTTAAATTGGTTCCTTACTAAAATTTTTAAACGGTATAAGCAGAACTGATAGAATAAAATTACACTTAGGCGCGCAAAAAAATAACATTAAAGGGACAAATAAAATGCGTTTTCGCATTGTACAGAGGATGATTGATGAAAAGCCTAAACAAAGCAACAAATTAAAGGCTTCAAATTTACAAACAGACCTTCTCTATGGCAAGAACACTTGCACCGGACTCAACAAGGACATTGGTTAGAGAACCAGTTCCTGGCCCAATTTCAAGCACCATATCTTCTTCTTTAACATCCGCCGCACGAACAAGTTCCTCGTTTACCGAAGAATTCAACATGTAATGCTGACAACCACAGACACCTACTCAGTGTTCGATAAAAGACCGCAATGAGAATAACACACACACATGTATGTATGACTGTATACCTGGCCGAGGGATTTTCGGGGAAAACGACCTTTGGAGTTGAGGGCTTTGAGGGTGGCGTGATAATCGTCATCTTGGATTTTGGTTCTGGTCTTCGAAGAGCTTGCTAATACTCGTACGGTTGTTGCTGTGGTGGTGGTGGTGCTGCTGCTGCTACTATTGTGCGCCGGAGGTGAAGGTTTTGCTTTAGTTACAGGAGGGGAAAAGGAAGGAGATGGTAGGAGAGATTGGTGGAGAGAAGTCATGGCGGTTGGATACTCTTCTGTTATATGGCCAATTCCAACTGAGGGAGTGACTATATATATATATAGTTAGGATGGCCACGGCAGACCTAAAATTTTGTCTGATCCAGTATAACGAATTTAAACAATTAGCTTACTCCAAATAATTGGGATATAAAATTTGATTTAATTTGGTTTAGTTAGTATGGTCGGACCGGTGTATGCATATTTCAATTAATCTTCTTTTCGTTCCAGTGATAAAATATTCACGTTAGGATCAAAATATTATGAAAAATAAATTCCTCCCACAAAGAATTGCCAAAATTTAAACTGTGAACGTCTTCTTCTTGATCTGGTCAGAGACAAATCATCCACATTGAGATAGTTTGTCTATGTTGTTAGGAAATTTACACAAAATTCTCAAACTTGTGAGAAACAATAATAGAGAAAACACACGTCAAAGAAAAACGATCACACGCACAAGACAATATTTACGTGGTTTAACAATATGTCTACGTCCAGGAAGCTGCAGGAATATTATTATTATCAAGAAGAAATACAAAGCGGTCATACAGAATCAATCAAAACCCTAATCATCCAAAACAATAGGTTTTATATGTCCTACATCGGGCTACAAATCGTAGGCCCAAGTTTCCGTTCCATGGACTAAGCCTCAAAAAATTTTTCATTAAAAATCACACAACATTATTTCGGATCGGATCATTATCCGAATCAACACAAAAAACTAGACTCCACAAAAAACCCAACATCTGTTACCACTTGAACTATGTCTCTATTCGTNAGTATTATGAAAAATAAATTTCTCCCACAAAGAATTGCCAAAATTTAAACTGTGAACGTCTTCTTCTTGATCTGGTCAGAGACAAATCATCCACATTGAGATAGTTTGTCTATGTTGTTAGGAAATTTACACAAAATTCTCAAACTTGTGAGAAACAATAATAGAGAAAACATACGTCAAAGAAAAACGATCATACGCACAAGACAATATTTACATGGTTTAGCAATATGTCTACGTCCAGGAAGCTGCAGAAATATTATTATTATCAAGAAGAAATACAAAGCGGTCATACAGAATCAATCAAAACCCTAATCACCCAAAATAATAGGTTTTATATGTCCTGCATCGGGCTACAAATCGTCGGCCCAAGTCTCCGTTCCATGGACTAAGCCTCAAAAAAAATTTCATTAAAAATCACGCAGCATTATTTCGGATCGGATCATTATCCGAATCAACACAAAAAACTAGACTCCACAAAAAATCCAACATCTGATACCGCTTGAACTATGTCTCTATTCTTTTGTGTGTTCATTTAACTGGATAGTGCAATTAAAAACAGATATACTTTTATTCTTCTTGTAATACAAGTTGTGTTGAGTTCAATTTGAATTATTTTGTATTTGACACTATTACAATTCTCAAACATTAAGTTAATATTTGTGTAAAAAATTTAATTTGACAAAGTATTTTGATGGATAAATCAAATGTAGAGGATGACAAAGTCAAAATTAATTCATTGAATTTTTTAAAAAAGGATAAAATGTGACCATTAAATATTTTAGGCCAAGAGTTTAGCGCAAGCATTAGTGTCGAAATAAGATTATTCTATTATCATTTAGACGTCCCGAGTTTCACTATCATAAAAATAGTTTATTTGCATACTAAGGTAAAATTGCATATGGCATCAAAGCAGACATCTATTTGATCTAAATAGAAACTTCATTCCCAAATTATAGGATATTTTTAAAGTTCTTCACATACACCAATTGCTGTACACCTTCAAATCAATACCAATGACTTCACAAAAATTTTANTTTGATCTAAATAGAAACTTCATTCCCAAATTATAGGATATTTTTAAAGTTCTTCATATACACCAATTGCTGTACACCTTCAAATCAATACCAATGACTTCACAAAAATTTAAAAAAAAAAATAGTTCAGAGTGATAAGAGTTAGAATTGACAAGCTTCAACCAAAAATTAATCATGATTATTAAATATTGTATCCTCAAAATCACCATCCCAAAACAATTGGGGACTTGTGCTTCCTGCCATAGGCAGCAGAACATTACTTTCCTCAGTCCCAAAACTGTCCAGATCATGTAGCAGTGGTGGTAATGGTGGCAGAGAACANAAAAAAAAAATAGTTCAGAGTGATAAGAGTTAGAATTGACAAGCTTCAACCAAAAATTAATCATGATTATTAAATATTGTATCCTCAAAATCACCATCCCAAAACAATTGGGGACTTGTGCTTCCTGCCATAGGCAGCAGAACATTACTTTTCTCAGTCCCAAAACTGTCCAGATCATGTAGCAGTGGTGGTAATGGTGGCAGAGAACATTGTTGTTCATGAGGAACATAGTCATCAGGTGTTGAGGTGTACTGAACTGAACAGTCAATCCCAAAAGTATCTAATGGTGGCAGAGAAGATTGTTCCGGTGGAATGCAGCCAACGAACAATGAAGGATACCCGACTGAAATCTCATTCCCAGTTCCAGATGTTCCCACTGGTGGCAGAGAACGTGGCTGCTGGGCTAGACTGTTAGGAGATACTGAAGGGCATTGGATTGGACTATCATTCACAAAGGTCCCAAGTGGAGGCGAAAAAGGTTGTTTCCGGGGATTACTGTAAACAAACAGAGGAGGGTTCTGGACTGAACTCCCATTCCCAGAAGTTACTAACAATGGCAGTGAAGGGTGCTGCTGGTGAATGGAGTTTCCAGGCACTGAATGAGATTGGTCTGAATCTTTCCCACAAATCCCAACAGAAGAAAGAGAAGGTAGTTGATGGATAAAATTTATGGATTTTGTAGGGTCCAGGACTTGATTTTCATTCCCAGAAGTTCCTATTTCAGAGAATGCCTCTTCTCCTATGGTCTTATCATTACCTGAAACACCTGTTTGGCCAAACAAAACAGACTTCCCATCACCAGCCAATCTAAATCCCCGGAAATTGCCTGTGCAATCAGAAATTTCGGGCAGGTTGGCCTTGCTGGATGAGTTGCCATCTTCGATGCTGAAAAGCATGTTCTTGGTCTGATCACCATAAATTCTGAACTTATGGTTAAACAGAACCCCCCGGAAGCCACCATTTTGGTCGGTATATTGTGGTAGTGCACCAAAAGGAGACACATTTTGGGTATAAGGGTACTGATTATTCTCCTGATTGCTTCCTGTTAGCAATTGTGCTTGTCTTAAGTCAGACAAGCCAATTGGTGCTTTGGTGCTGACAGTGGTAGAGTGATTAGAGGCAAGCATAGAATAGAGGCCACGGGAGCCTTTTAGAAATGATGTCCAATGAGGCGGTAGCTCGGGAAATAGAGAATTTCCTTGTGAGAAGTTGAAATTTAATGCAGAATTACCTGATGGAAAGTATGGTTCCTTAGCATCATTGATTAGGTTTATTCCATAAAAAGAACCAGCTGATCCTTCTTGAGCTCGTTTCAAGCACATGCGATATTTCTGCAACCACGCAAAAATTTTCATCAGATTGTTCAACATATTTTTTGCTTTGAATGCAAGATTTGCTGATGGCTAATGTTTATGTGGTGCATTTACTGTAATTGGAAAATTGAGATTCAGGTATTAAACTATCAGATTTTCTTGTATTTATTAGTCACAATTTTCATCACTCCACCTTGTTATTAACTTTTCAAGGAAATGAAGTCACGTAATACACGTGAAAATAAGAAAATTATCGTTTTCTTATTTTCCTTTTTCTATTTTATCCCAAAAAAGAAAATCCATATACTGACTCATAATTTGATTAAAAAAAAAAGGGACAAGGATCAAACAGATCATAAACAGAATTTGTAAAATCTGAACAAGAACAAACCTGCAAATGACTGGCAACATTTTCTCTAGTCAATCCGGGGACGTTCATAACTTCAACTATTTTCTTCGGAAAAGCCCCTAAATATAGTGAATAAAATTAGAAGATTAAAATAAGAGTTTAAGAAAGAAGAAATAAGAAGTAATTTTGGACCAAGAACTAAAGGCATCTTATATATCTTACTATCATAGCCTAACTTTTCAATGGCTTCCAAAAATTTATGGTGCATCTCACTAGTCCAAACCACCCTTGGCTTCTTTTCCATAGGGGAATCATCTTCATTGTCTTCATTTTGTTCATCTCTTGTTTTCCTCTTACGCTTCTGGTGCCCGAGACTTGCTTNTCATAGCCTAACTTTTCAATGGCTTCCAAAAATTTATGGTGCATCTCACTAGTCCAGACCACCCTTGGCTTCTTTTCCATGGGGGAATCATCTTCATTTTGTTCATCTCTTGTTTTCCTCTTACGCTTCTGGTGCCCGAGACTTGCTTCCCCTGATGATTTGGTATTACCTAGACTTGCCTCAACTGCATTCTCAGGTGTTGATGCAAGTTGAGTACCTCCTACTTTGTCTTGCTCTCTTGCTAACGCAAATTGCCAAAGGTTTTTAATGCCATTCATGCTCAAAGATTTCACAATATATGCTGCAACATTACTTGCTTGGTCTTTTGACACAAATTTTCTGTCATCTGGGGACATTACTGCAAGTGACAATGATCGAGAACTATGTTTCAATAATCGAAAAATAAAACTATACCACAAAGTTATAACAAACTGAGAATGAAACACTTTCAAGATATAACATGGCAAACTGCAACCATATCAAAAAATATATATATTTTATCTGTATCACTGTTCTTCACAATTTTTTGGAGTAACATAAGGGAAAAAGGATGAAATTAATCAGAAAATTTTATGGTGGAGAGTGACACTTACAAAGGGTGGGCAGATTGAATTCATTCTGAATGCGTTGGAGAATCTGCAATCCATTTGAATCTGTCCTGTGGAAATTTGTTAGAACAAGGCCTAGTCTGTCTTTCCTCTCCCAAATGGCGTTTAAAGCATCCATAGCCTTTCCAATATGTAAAACTGAGAGAAAGAGAGAGAGAGAGAAAGACTAGAATTATGGAGATAATTTTTCATGATGATCATCTAGNTGTTTCAATAATCGAAAAATAAAACTATACCACAAAGTTATAACAAACTGAGAATGAAACACTTTCAAGATATAACATGGCAAACTGCAACCATATCAAAAAATATATATATTTTATCTGTATCACTGTTCTTCACAATTTTTTGGAGTAACATAAGGGAAAAAGGATGAAATTAATCAGAAAATTTTATGGTGGAGAGTGACACTTACAAAGGGTGGGCAGATTGAATTCATTCTGAATGCGTTGGAGAATCTGCAATCCATTTGAATCTGTCCTGTGGAAATTTGTTAGAACAAGGCCTAGTCTGTCTTTCCTCTCCCAAATGGCGTTTAAAGCATCCATAGCCTTTCCAATATGTAAAACTGAGAGAAAGAGAGAAAGAGAGAGAGAGAGAGAGAGAGAGAAAGACTAGAATTATGGAGATAATTTTTCATGATGATCATCTTGATTCAAAACATTTTCTATATTTACAAAACAATTATAGGCTTGACATGCAAGACGCTCAACTCATAGCATATCAACAAGTTCTGGATGAAACTCCGTAGACAATACAAACAATATGCATATACATACACACACACATGAATGGATGTGGAAGAGATAAAAATAACCCAAAATTTAACAAATATGAAATTCCATGTTGATCATGATGATGCAAAATATTTCCTACCTTTTCAAAGCGCAATTATAGGCTTGACATGCATAAAAGTTGACTCATAACATTTCACACAACTTTTAGATGAAACTCAGTAGACAATACTAAGAACATATATGCATATACAAACACATATACATATATATGTGTGACTCGAATAGAAGTAAGCATGAACCAACTATAGAAGAGTCAGAACAGAGTGCATGAAATCTAAATCCACTTAGGTAAAAAAAAACCATAAATTCAATGTTGACATCATGTAAGGAACAAAGAATTTGATGATATGCATCAAATAATCATATTGAACACACCTTCATAACTGCAGTGTTGAAGCATCTCTGTGATGATCTTACGACACATAAGATCATCATTCATGACCAGTAGACAGATTTCCTTTGTTCCTGCAGATTGACTGGATTGCCCAACTGAAGTAATTCTCTTGAAGTCCATGTGTTTGATGAAGATATGGGTTATGTGGGAAAGAAGTTTTAGTTTGGAGCTAAGGTGGCTGAGAGGGAATCTTGTACAGATTAGAGAGGAGAGAGANTTCTCTTGAAGTCCATGTGTTTGATGAAGATATGGGTTATGTGGGAAAGAAGTTTTGGTTTGGAGCTAAGGTGGCTGAGAGGGAATCTTGTACAGATTAGAGAGGAGAGAAAGACATATAAATGACTTACCTGATGGTCTTTTATACATGCCACCAAAACTTAATTACCACATTTTCCTCATGCACGGGGTGTAATGTGAGTGTTTTTTTTTTTTTTTTTT